ACACACTCCTCCCTCTCTCTCTCTCTCTCTCTCCCTCTCTCTCACTCTCTCCAGTCTTAACTACTTAAGCTGGTGGAGTCTGTAACTTATATCATATTTGGCCATGACGGCATCTTGCACACCTGTAACCGCACGTCAACTTACTCAGATGTGTTCCCTGCTGCCACTTAACTCCCCATATCCATCCGCAGTGGAAACATGTAATAAGTAGTTCCCACTAGAAAATAAAGGACAAGCACTAGGCTGTTTTACTGTCTGTCATAAAAACGAAGTTAACTTGTTATTCTCAAATATATCTACATGTATGAATTAGTCCAGAAAATTCAGGAAAGAATACTCTTAAACTTTGAAAGACAATTTCAAAAAGGGGCACTTTGCCTTTGTCTGACCTTCACCTGTTTGTTGCCAAAGCCAATGAAGCGAGGCAGTCCCTACACGACATTGTTGATCTAGGAGATTCAATTTCCTTAGACAAGACCTTAACTTTTGTTTGGCGTACCTTTTATTTTGGCTTGAATGTCTACCTCCCTGTGTTGTATGTTGGTTAGGTTTCATGATTGAACAAAGACGTCCTCTACAGTCGCCAGGTTACTTTACAGGTGAATAGGTGAGTTTCTTTGCAGGGTTTTGAACAAAGTTTACAGCTACATGTACTATGATATGCAAAGATTTATGTGTAACAGGTCGTTTTGTGTGGTAAGGGTGCCCGGCTTTCTGAAAACTATGACAAAATCATCTCAGATTAAAACCATTCCCTGATCTAAGATGCTTTATTACAGTAATAAGTCATGTCTCCCTGATATATGTTTGGTTCACAGCATACCAGTCACTAACACACAATGCTGGAGCTTCTCCCGGCCGGTGTAGTGGATGTGACAGACCCGGGGCGTCTGCATGCAGAGTTGTGGGCCGACTCCGTCCTTAAAGTCGTCTCCTGTTGGCTGCCCTTCCTCCTGTCTACTATCGTGGTGGGGCGGGATTTACTGGGTAACTTGACGGTCTCACATTTGCCATTTGTCGGAAGAGAAATAACAGCCATGATCTTGATTCTTGTACACTGGGCCTAAGTGTATTAAGTTAACATAACACATTGGACCCATATTGCCACCAAAATAAAACTGCATTCTATTCTAACAGTAATAATTTGGTTTTCATTATGAAGTGCCAAACACAGGAGCAGACTGGTTTGCAAGCTTTGGATTTGCTTCTCGAGCCTACATGCACTACAACTTGCAACATTACTACAAAACACCATTCATCCGATCCATCGTTGCGTTAACAAATGCAGCATATAATAATAATGAAAGACAAACAAACATACATCAGAAACATTGCATATGTTTTGCATTATAAAACATATTCTGAGAACATTTTAAGTGATGTTCCTGCATCGTGTTTGCTTTATTCAGGCTCCAGTTCTCAGTGTTTCCCCTTGGACCGGCTACATGGGACTGTCCAATGCGAGAACGGCACAATCCTGTCTGATGGCAACTCGTCCACCTTCAGCGAAATATCGGTCTACACCAGGCAGATTTCTGAGTTTGTAAACGTGTATTGTGCAGGGCAGGAGTCCTTTTGTGCAAACACCAAGTTTAGCTACCACCAGTTTGCCATGATGCTGGCTATACAAGCAGCTCTTTTGTATGCACCGCTTTTGATTTGGAATGTTACTGTTGGCAGGGAAGTCATTTGTAATGTCAGGTTCATAGCATGTGACATGGTAGTGCTCTATGACCGATTCAGAAAACCAAAAGATGGCCAGACTGGGGGAGGTAGGGGGAATGAACATGTAAACACCCAAGTAGACAGTCAGGATGCGGGTATAGGACAGAAGGTTGGTCATGTTTCTCCACCTCACACACAGCTAAAAGGACCATATGCACAAGAGGAGTTAGTTTATGCATATAAAACATGGAGAAAAACCAGAGTTGTGTACACCTGTTACCTATTTAAACAGGCATCGTCTGGTATTGTTGCTGTTGCTCTTATTGTTGCCTATGCCTTGCACCAACCCATCTCTGTTGAAAGTATCCGTGAAAAGTTCCAGTGTTCAGTGGAAAATAAATTCTTGGTAACTTGCACGGTGCCTGCAGCCAAAGTGCACCTATTTGTTTGGGGGGCCAACATGTTTCTACTGTCAGTTAGTGTGATACTCACCATAACGCACATAATTCTGCTTCATGCACTTGCTAAAGATCAACCATTCGCAGAGATTGGTATTAAAAACAAGAAAAAGGATGACAAGAAAAAGGATGAAACAATGCAGGGAAAAAACCCAGCGCAGGAAACACGGCGGGGTAGGGGACGTAATGATGACCAACCTGTCATTGAGACTGGTTCAAATGATGATGAAGATACTTCATATCATTCAGCGCAAAGTCAAATCATCATTGACGGACAGAAGCAACATGGAAACACACAAAATGGAACAAACCAAGTTACTGAACGCCCTCAGAAATGCTTGTTTCCTCTAAATGACAGCCAAATGATGTATTCCTTTTTCAAAGCTAACATAGAGTCGGTTGAGAAGTATAACTATGTCAAGAGTCTTCTTAATGTAGCACCTAAGCAGCAGGCTAAACAGCGATCAACCACATAATTGTCAGACCACCAAAAGCCACTTCGAAATGATTTAATGTAATGAAAGACCTTTATTGTACATTCATGCCACGACGGGCTAGGTACAGGTCAAGACTTAACAGACACATAACAAACGTGAGTAGAAAACATACATAAGGAACATACAAGGATACTATACTAAGCTAATACAAAGTGTTCTAGTTACTGATCTAATACAGAGTGTTCAACTTCTTCTCCCCTTTTTGTACAATGGAAAATGTGGGAACAGATCATGGTTGGGACGCATCAGAAATATAAATCTATCATTAGCACTTAGGTGTTCGAAGTATGGGAACTTCTCTTTGATATGATTAAAAAGGACAGATCTTTCATTAGCATATAAAGTACAGTGTAAAATAAAGTAGTATGAGATTTTCGGTGAAGCTTCGGTCACTGGTGCATTGAACGTCATGCCTGTATTTCTATAATCTCTGTTTGTGTGGGTTGAGTCTTCTAAATTAAGAGTAAGGAATTTAACGTCAAATGTTAAATTATCATTTGTTTGCAGTGTGATAGTCTTACCTTATTCTGTTTAACATAGGCCACAGCGCTGCTGCATTTGACTGTGTACTTGGGAGGACAACTTGTAAAGGTGTCAATGCACCTGTTTTGTCCTCCCTTCTACTTGTATATGTGTACTCGTGGTAAACTCACATAAACAAGTAAGATTAAATATGTTTACCCATGTAATTAGCCTTCAGTTATGAGTTTTTGAATAAAGTAAATCCAGGTATGTTGTGTTAGGTGTACACATCGTTTCTTAAAGTCTGCCACATCAGATTTCCAACTCTGTGCAAAGTTTACAGTGATTTGCATTTCCTTTGGAGATCTTGATTCGTGCTTTGCTCACTTTGGGTAAAGAAAATACCATTGCAAAAAAGAAAGCATGATAAAAAGGCTAAAAACACGCTAAAAATAAGCCAAATCCCCAAACCTCTGCTTGGAGAGTAATGGTTTGTAACAGAAGCGCAGAAACGCTTGCTTCCCAACATCTGCTTGGAGATGACTGGGTCCTATTTATCGAGTCATCGAAAACCCCGCACGAGCCTCTAGTGACCTTTAAATTACGTTGCTTCTTGCGAAAGATCGTTTTGGTGGAAAAGAATATAGATTATCTTATTTACTGACTATCCCATACACCGGGATAACTGTGAGGATTGACGATTGGTAGAAATATTTTTGGGCCGCACCGATATACCCGTAACCTCCATTCAGAGCCTTGAAACCTGGGAACGAGACGCTAACACATGTGGTTGCGTGATTGCGTCTGGATTACGATATTTTCTGCTGAATAAAAACGTTTCTGTCCGGGATTTGCGGAGGCTGAGCTGAAATTCCGGGTTGATTCTGTAACCAGCAGGTAACTAAGGTACGTGTGGTTTGTTGTGAACTTTCGGTAAATTAAAATTTCCGTTTTATTAGGGAAAAAATACAGGATGGTAAAATGCCCCCCTCCCCCATTGACGATAATTCTGCACTAGTTTCAGTTTCAGGTAGTTTTGCACGTTATTCTGACGTTGCTCTGAGACTGTAGTACCATTTTAGAAATTAACCGTTATCAAATCGGTCTTGATACGTTCATAGGATCTTTTTTTTTTACTCCAAAATATATTTTGTTAGTTCTTCCTTTCATAGTAGACTCCCTTGTTTCGTAGTAGCCACAAGCATGGGCAAGAGCATCATATTCAAATTATACTTTGGATAAAAAAAAAACGTGAAGTTTACGTTGTACAATGTCACAGTGCTTTAGTTGACTTGTGCGCATTATTTTCCATAATACAAGTTATATTTTTACAGGCAGATAGTCGGAGCTGCTGAAACGTGTATAATAATCATAAGCAAGGTTCATACTAATCTTTCCTAGGTAAAAATATAACGTTAATAATATAAACTCCCTTCCTCCCCTGTACACCAGCACCAGACATGGCTGATACGGAGACTAACACAGACGGGAAACCTGAAACTACAGGAGACGGGAAATCTGAACCCACCGGACTGGAGAGGAAAATCTACCAGCAGATGGAGGTAGGAAGAGAATAATATTATTGTTTTATTTACATAGTAGTAGTACTATAATAGTAGTAGAAAAAGAATACAACCAAAAACTACTAGTAGATTTTGTGCAAACCACCAGTTATGCAGACTGTAGACCAACTAGAGGAAACCAGCTCCTTACTTGCGTAGTTGCCTGTGTAAGTTTGCAATTGCAGAAAGCTGTAAGGTTTCTTTAAAAGTCCAGGAAGATTAGGTAATGTAGTACAATTTATATATATATCGAAAGCTAAACTAATAATTAATAATTATAAAGTATCCAAAGTATCATTGTACATTGTAGGTGCATATAGTACTAGTATTAATCTACTGTAATCTCCCTTCCCTCCTGCAGTACTACTTCGGGGATCACAACTTGACCCGAGATCGCTTCCTGCAAGGGGAGATCAAGAAAGACGACGGGTGTATCCTTACTGTAATACTGGTATACTGTGGACCAGTTCACTCATGTCTGTACATGTACATACAGGGTTCCACGATACATATATATACAAGTACAGGGTTCATTTAGTACAGAGTTTAGCAGAGGTAAGGAGAGATCAAGAAAGACGACGGATGTATCCTTTACAGTAATACTGGGAAGCAGTTTACATGTCTGTACATGTACATACAGGGTTCCATAGGCTTAACAACAGTACACATGTACATACAACAAGTTTCTATCCTTTATATTTTAATACTGTGGACAAGTTTACATGTCTGTAGTGTTAGTGTTTTTGTCTGTACATATACTACTAGTACTACAGGGTTCTGTCCTCACTGGGACCAGGTTACCTGTCTGAACATGCACAGGGTTTTTGAAGTTTAGTGTGAGTTCTGCAGTGTTGATTAGCAGCTGTATCTACAGTACAAATGTTCCTTAACCCTCCACTCCCAAGGGGTTCCTCTGGAGACTCTGGTCAAGTTCAACAGACTCAAGGTGAGTCGGATTTGACCTTCACACATATGACCTTCACACATGTGACCTTCACACACATGACCTTCACACTACCTAATCCACCTAGTTGCAAAATGTTCCTTACCTGTAGACTAGACATGTGATGTACTCTGGCTTCTGGCTGCCTGTATAGTGTTCATCTGTTGAAGTTTGACTCCTTGTATTATATCCAGAAATGTGCCTGTCTAGTTCCATCCTGAATGGTTTAGGGTAAGGATCAGGCACAGTTCTGGATAGTCTCAGCCGCGTATCCAAAAAGGTAGATCTGCCCTTGTCACATTTCTGGATATGAGTGGGCTATCCAGAACTGTGCCTTAGCATTTTTCTAGATTAAGCATGGTTCTGGATAAAAGCACAGTTCTGGATAGTCTCTGTGTATCCAAAAATGTAGATTTACCCCAGATACGGTTCTTACTACCCAGAACCGTGCCTGAGTGTTGTTCTGGATAAAACATGGTTCTAGACACTGAGTTTTTTGTTGTTTCTGTTGCAGGCCCTGTCTGATGACTTTGAGGTCATCTGTGCAGCTCTGCAGAAATCCCCAAACCAACTCATGGAGGTCAGACTGGAATCATTCTCTTAATCAATGGTTCTTCCTGATAACTGTTCTGTCTGCAGAATGAAACCTTGTAAATATGGCATGACTGTTCTGTTGTTATAGCTTTTATACATGAGAAAGATGAGTACTGCATGTAGTATGATTCAACTGTCCAATACTCCTGTTCATGGTACAATGTAACACTGATATTTCCTACATGTATAAATCTTGATCTAGTCAGACATTTTTATAACAAAGTCACATCTAAACTGTTTGTGTTGTGTTTTTCCAGGTGAGTGAAGACAAGACGAAGGTTCGGCGACTTCCCAGCAAATCTCTGCCCAAAAACACGGAGCAGTGGAGGTCCGAGAACAAGGCTAGAACTGTCTACTGTGTAAGTACATGTACCTTATCCCTCATGTACTGTGTACATATGTACCTTATCCTACATGTCAGAACAAGGTTCGGACTGTCTGCTGTGTAAGTAGCTTATCCTACAGGTACCTGTGTGTAGTGTGTACTGTGTAAGTACACATGTACCAAGAACAAGGCTAGTAGAACTGCCTACTGTGTAAGTACATGTAGAATGTACCTTAGCCTATATGCATGTGTGTTGTGTGTACTGTGCAAGAACACATGTTCCGAGAACAAGGCTCGAACTATCTATTATGTAAGTTTTTTTATACTACTTGGGGCCTACAAAAGTCCAAACTTTGTAAAAATCCCCGGCAGCTTTTTCAAGCCCCCCCCCCTCAATGATATAAGACCCCCCTGTGTTATAAGAACCCCCCTGTCTGTCCTTACAGAAGGGTTTCGGCCAGGACGACTCCTTAGACGACATCCAGGAGTTCTTCCAAGACAAGGGCAAGGTCGAGACGGTCTTCATGAGACGCAACGAGAACAAGGACTTCAAGGTCAGTTAATTTCAAGGTCAAGGCTGCTCAACCAGAGTCATTTGATAGACAGGGTTTAGTACAAGCCCAGTACAAGTCTGTATGTCTGACAGTACTGTATTATGTGACCATGTCAGACTTTGGTACAGTCAAAGATGTTCTTGTCATTGCTACATTTGATGATGTTCCATATCACAAGTGTTTGCTACATTTCCTGAGGTTCTGTATCACAAGTCCCTTGCTACATTTGATGAGGATCTAGATCACAAGTCCTTAGCCACTTTTGCTACATGTTCTATACCATAAGTGTTTGCTACATTGATGATGATCTATATCATTGCTACATTTCCTGAGGTTCTGTATCACAAGTCCTTTGCTACATTTGCTGAGGTTCTAATTTGCCACATCTCCTGACCTCAGGGCTCCGTCTTCGCGACCTTCAGCAGCCTGGACGATGCTAAGAAGTTTGTGGAGGCGGAAGGAGTCCAGTACAAGGGGGAAGACGTCAAGAAGATGTTCAAGTAGGGCTTCTTCAAACCTTGTTAAGAAAGTTGACTCAAGAGTTATGTATGATATCATGATTGATCATCTGTGTTGGTAGTTACATGTTAAAGTTAAAACTTTTGATCCAACACAAAGAAGTTCTCTCACCTAGAGCTTTCATGATTGCTGTCATGAAGGTTCATCTGTGTTGGTAGTTGCATGTTTAACTTTAGATCCAACACGAAGTTCTCTCACCTAGAGCTTTGCACCAGTCACTCTGGTCTTCCTCAGTAGACAGAAGCTAAGTGACAAGTCACACTGGGTCTGTGGTCCGTGTTTCTTTTGTGCTTCCATGAAATGTTAAGTCAACGCAATAGCACTTAGTTTTCCTGCTATGTTGATTGATATTTATAATTATTTGATATTTAAAATTTAAATTGATCCCCTCCCCCCCAGGAATGAGTACTTCAACATGAAACTTGAAGAGAAGAAGAAGAGAAAGGAGGAAGAAAAGAGAAAGCTGGAGGAGGAAACAGAGCAGCAAGAGAAGAAGAAAGAGGAGGAGAAACAGAAAGATGTGGAATATACGAAGGGCTGCATTCTCCACTTCTCAGGTGGGCAATATGTACCTAGTCTGTTTGGGGTTTATGTTTGTTTGTGTTTGTTTCATTTTCCTTGTCAGGTGTTCAGGAATTGTGAGTCTGTTTACTATCATAAAAGTGCATCTGTGTTGGTAGTTACATGTTTAAAGTTAAATCTTAAGATCCAACACAATAAATTTCTCTCACCTAGAGCTTTTAACCAGTCACTCTGGTCTTCCTCAGTAGACTGACCCAGTGTTGACGTCACACTTCAAAGAAGCCACGTGACAAGCCTCACTGGGTCAGTCTACTGGGGAAGACCACAGAGTGACTGGTTGAAACCTCTAGGTGAGAGAGCTTTTTTGTGTTGGGTCTAAAGTTTTAACTTAACGACTCTGTTACCTGTTTACCTGCCCCCCAGGTGCTCCAGACGACACGGTGCGGGAGGAAGTCTCCAAGGTGTTCCAGACGTTTGGAGACGTCAAGTGGATTGACTTCAACAAGGGAGACACACAGGTGAGAAGTTTTTAACTTCAATTTTTACCTCAATACAAGGCTCATACAAACCACTTGAAAGTTTTGGGTTACATTTAGGAATTTTAGAGACCCTACTAGACTTGTACCCATTTGGAAAGCTTGTTCCATAGTGATGTAGTTCTAGGAAAGAAGCTTTCAGTGTGGAACTTTCTCCTGAAAGATGGAGTATGGAGGAATGGATGGAATTGCATTCCCCCCCTCACATATTGTGTGCATGTTTGTTTGTGAGGCTGATACTGATGATGATGATACTGCGCCCCTCCCTGCAGGGCACCGTGAGGTTCGCATCGCCCGGCGCGGCGGAAGCAGCTGCCCAGGTGGCTGATGGGAAGGTGACGCTGAAGGGCGCGGAGCTGTCCTGCAGGGTCATGGAAGGTCAGTACAGCAGCTGTAGGGGTCAAGCTGGCCTCAGTGCTGTTTTGCCATTAAACTGCAGTTTATTTCCAACTATACACTTATATGTTATCTGTTAGGATTTTATTTTTCCTATCACTTGTTTTATTGTACATGGTTTTGCCGTTAGTGCCACCGATATAAAGGTGAATAAAGTTCAAAGTTCTGACAGCTTGTTGTGCCCCAGGTTGAAGAGGAGAAGACCCACTGGCTGCAGGTGTAAGGGTTAGGGTTAGGGGGTTAGATGTGTGCTAATGTTTCTGCTGACAGCATTTCGTAACGTTTGATTTGTTCCAGGTGAAGAAGAGAGGGTCCACTGGCTTCAGGTTTAAGGGTTAGGGTTCGTTATGTGTGCAAATTTTTTTGCTGTAATGTATAATTTGTTCCAGGTGAAGAGGAAAAGACCCACTGGCTGCAGGTGTACGGTTAGGGGGATGTGTGCAGATGTTTTGCAGACAGCTTGTTGCCTACTCTGTGTGTGTCTAACATATGTCTGATATCCCCCAGGTTAAGTGGAGAAGACCCACTGGCTACAGGTGTAAGGGTTAGGGTTAGGGTTAGGGTTAGGAAAAGGTGTGTAGATGTTTATGATGTCAGCTTTTTGCCTGCTGTTATTTGTCTAACATGTGTCTAACATGTATGTGATATCCCCCAGGTGAAGAAGAGAAGACCCACTGGCTGCAGGGTTAGGGTTAAAGTGATGTGTGTAAGGGTTAGGAGGGCATGTAGATGTTTATGCTGTAATGTTTACTTTGTTCCAGGTGAAGAAGAAAAGACCCACTGGCTGCAGGGTTAGGGTTAGTTAATGTTAAGTTAATTAGTTACTTAGTTAATGTTTAATTTGTTCCAGGAGAGGAAGAGAAGACCCACTGGCTTCAGGTTTAAGGGTTAGGGTTCGTTATGTTTGCAGATGTTTAAGATGTGTCTGTTTGTCCCCAGGAGAGGAAGAGAAGACCCACTGGCTGCAGGTGTACGAGAACCAGAGCAAAGTCCGGCAGCAGAAGAAGAAGATGAAGTTCGGACAAGGTCGCGGCAGAGGTCGGGGTCGAGGTCGGGGTCGGGGCAGAGGTCGCGGAGGTCATGACAGAAACACGACATTCCAGGGGAAGAAAACACGGCTGGACAGCGACGGGGAGGGCAGCGATGGTAGGTCAAGGGTCAGCAGTCATAGGTCAATAATTAGTTTGGCTCTACCTGTGAGCACTTGTGATGTTTTGTTATTTGTCCTGCTGTGTTTTTTTTCTTTATATTTCAGGTTCCAAATGCCCATATTCTTACATAACGTTAAAACAGAGGCACATATACAGAGATAAATGGGTAAAAAACAGTGAGATACGGTATAGTGATAAAAAAAACAGTCAATTAATTTTTGGTCTCATACCGCTGTTTGTCTCTGTTTTCTGGTCTCATACCACTGTTTTCCTGGTCTCACACCGCTGTTTCCCCCGCAGGTGAAACGCAGCAGAAGATGGAGGACACGACCTCCGCAGCGAAGCGGCCGCACGAGGATTCTGGGAAGGACGAGGAGCCCGCAAAGAAACACCTGAAGACGGAGGGAGACTGAACCATCGCCCAAAGGGGGGGGGATTTTTTTTCTTGTTTTTTTATTTTTATCTGTAGGAGAAAATGAAATATCCCATAAAATGTGATCACCAAAGTCTGTGACAGTTTCCTTTAGTTTCTACATATAAGAATATAACGTTCAGCAGTTTTTTTTTTCATATCATGATTAGAATCAGAGTCATAAGCTCACAAAAACCCACCTATACATCAGGAAATACAAATTTTTACAGACAGGACTTTTCTGTACTATAGAGCTCTGTGGGGAAGCTGAAAGTCCACTATTATTAGATATTAACCAAAGTCTTAGTTTCTTTCATTTTGTTTTATTTCATTTTGTTACATCGCTGTAGTTCCTGTAGTCTACTGTGCAGTGACATGTCAGTGCGCCTTACCTTATATGGCAATGGCCCTTGCCCTTATATGGCAGTTTTTCTCCCTAGTATATCCTTATATGGCAATATCTCTCACTCTCATATCTTTAACATAGCAAAGGCAATGTCCTGTACCATTATGTCTTATATTGCAATTGTCCTAACCTACTTGACAATTTTCATACAAGACGTTTTTTTCTGCTAATTAACAGTGAGACATGGACATGATTTCATTTTAGATTTTGTGAAGTTGCTCAGACCTGGAAAAATATGAACATCAGGTCACGTCAAGTTGTCCACAGGGAGATGTGAACATGTAACGTTAACTGTTTCTCATCCAGAAAACTATCGAACATCAACAATTAAGTCACTTTTTGTTTACTTGACTATGGGCCGTCAGGTGTTTCTCACAACATTGTCTGTGCAGATCTTCAATTAAACCTTTTTATATTCACATGAAAGTGATGTTATTTGTGACCCATCTTCTTCTTCTTCTTCTTCATTCCTGCCCAGCCCTACAGTGTAGGATTATTGGCAGCCGTTACGCATTGTTAATAACAATTGTGACCCGGTACATAAAAAACAAAGGGAAAACAAGGATAACTGAGAAGGGAACATAAAAACAACTGATTTTATGTGTGCTTAAGACGGGACAGGTGCGTTAGTAATATTTACATATATACAAGACATGATCGGGTGGTTCAATGCAGCAGTGCCCTCACCAGTTCAGATTTGAACTGGGCGAGAGACCCCGCCTCCGCCGCACCAGTCTCAAGTTCATTCCATTCTCTGTTCTTCATTCTTATACTACAAGTGTTCAAAGTGATCTTAGCCTGACTAAATCCGGCTCCTATATAGATACCGGTAGGCTAAGAAAGTTACATTTTTTTACCTCTCTGTACGTAAACTAAAGCACTGCACACTCACTAAATACACACCTTTCAATCAACCTGCATCTATTAGTACCTTTATGGTAGCAATACACATTGCAATGTACCTTGCCAATACACATCCTGCATTGCCACAATACACCTACATTGTACCACAATACACAATGCTAGTACTCACAGACAACCTGCAATACACACTGCAAGGTTTAGTAAATAAAATAAGTAGTAAACCAATTCATAAACAACAAAAAAGATGTAAAATGGATTCATAAGTTTCCGATTTACCATGCTAATAAATGGTGACAGAAAGTTCAGCCGATAAAGCCAACATGACCGTGAAGCAGCGCCCCTAAGCGACCTGATATCGAATTGCAGTCTAAAAAAAGATTTTGTTGACGTTTCAATGAATACAACCATAGTTCACTAGCCTGGGTGCCATCCGAATTTGTAACGGCTCCCCCGAAAAAATCTTTTCGGGGGAGCCGTTACAAATTCGAATGGCACCCAGGCTAATAGTTCACAGGACATAGGCAATTAATTACCAATAGCTGTAGCCAATCGCTACTATGTTTTCAGCAGCCCAAGAAGTCTAGTAGACTTGAAAGTCGGAAAGAAAAGCGCTTCTTCCACAAAAATAACAACTCAAACGGAAGCCATACATCTGCTTGGAGATAAGTTTGCCCCGTCATTTTTGTTTTCAGATTTCGGCTCACAAAAGCTTCCTATTGATATTGAATATCAAAAACGTGTAGTTTGCTTCGTTTGTGTTTTAATTATATAACTGCCGTTGCCACCCTCCCCCTGAGTGTTCGTGGATCGCCCCTAAAAACTCGGTCAGACTTTTGTCTGCGGCGCGCTCCCGGCGGGAGGTTGCTGGAACAGCCTTGTCTCCGGCGGGAGGGAGCGGGAAGAGCCGCGGTGTAATGGCGGAGTAATGGCGGCCAGTCTGGAGTTGGTGGGCTGGCTTCTCGTGGTGTTCTCGGTTTCCAGGGCAGCTACGGCCGGTAAGTGGGAATTTTACGGCTTCTGTAGGACTGCAAGGGTTTGTAGTTTCACAGGGAAGGGTTAGATACCGGTATAACCGATGGGAAAGGTTTGGAAACTGCGGCAGAAGTGGGGGAGTGGACGGGATCTTTTGTCGCTACCAAAGTTGTCCCCGATTCTGCCAAGCGCAGATTCGACCCTGGCCAGACAGTCCTGTCTAGCGACATTATACGGCCTCCATAGCGCAAAATCTACTCTTGCTAGGTCGGGGAACCTTGTCTGGTTTGTTAGAAACTTAGATCCGGTCCGTAGAGAGCGATTTCCGCCGTTTTTAGCGTGTTTTGTCCGGTTGTTTGGGGCTGAGAGTCTGCCCAGACGGCAGCGGTGCCGGTGTTGTACTCGCCATGGCGCCAGGCTGATATCGCCCGGCGATGCCGTCTGTCTGCCGGGCTGTGCCGCTCTGTCCGCCCGCTCATACCCAGCCTGGACACCGCTACAGGCTGTAGACATGTAGAACATCTCCCGGGGGGTGCCTACAGGGGGTGGGCCCCCGCTAAACCCGCCCCGACCCCCCCTCTCCGTCCCGCCCCCCTCCCCCCAGGCTGCGTGCCGTCTGCCCAGCCGTAAACAAACGCCTCCAAATCCCCTCCTCGGGACTTTGTTGCGTCTATTTCGAAAATAGCCGAACGCCCGCCTTTCCTTTAAAAAAACCTCTCAATTTTCGCTAATAATTCACGATTATTCCATGTTATACGTGCCGGAGCAGGGTTAAGTTGTGTGTGCGTGTCAGGTGGTTGAAGGAAAACATTTGTGCTGGTAGTTTTGTGAGAAAGCGGCGCTGAGAAAACGTTTTTCCCTGCTCGGTTTTTGCGGGACGTGAGGAGGTTGACAAGCAGGCAGAGTTCTGCAACGTCCCGGTTTTCTGGGTCAGAACCAGAGTCAGGACCAACGCCAGACCACAAAAACTCGTAAAATGCTGCTCACAAACTCAACATTCTGCTCACATAATTAGGAAGAAATCTGGTAGATCAACAGCAAAATTTAACGTTATAACACGACTTTCCTCACTTCGCTCAGGTGAAAATGAGTATTGTCCTGTCATGTATTTGTCCCCTGTGTTGGTGGCGGCATTAATATAAGTTGATAAAACTTGAGTGTGTCGTCACCACGTCTGGTGATTACATGTTGCCGGAATAAAAAAAAAACATTTCGTGCTGGGATTGACATACTGTATCATTAGTTTTCATGCCAGTGTACAAAATACTTTTTTTAAAGCAGGTTGCCCAGTACTAGTGGCAACTTACGGTAAAAATTAGGTTGCCCATCAGAATTTTAGGTTGCCCCACCACCTATAAGTTACTACTTTCCTCAAAGTAAGTAATGTTACATACATAAGCCTTTGACAATATCTCTAACAGCCTTTAGTTATATCTGATATTAGTAATAGCCATTAATACCTAAAATTAAAAAGCAGCACACTGGGCTACCTAGGTTCAAAAATAGGTGGCCACAAGTAAAATTTGGTTGCCCAGGGCACGCTGCATGCTGCTCACACAATTATAGACAAATCTGGCAAGTCAACATCAAAATAGATTTTGTTCTCAGGCTGATTTTAGGTTTGATGTTTGGTTGGTTTTTCTTCTAATGATGATGATCATTGTGGCATACTTATTAACGCAGAAGGGCACAAGGTTGGTGACATGGCTGGATTTGAACCCAGGACCTCTTGGTTCTGAGCCGAATGCTCTGCCATTATGCCACACAACCCCACTGCCCACGAGTTTTACAGGGCAGCATAATTTTTTTTTTTTTGTTAAAGTACCCCAGAGCCAACAGATTGAATCAGAGTTGTTTTGTAGGAAGATTTGGGTTTTCCTGTGGTTTGGAGAACAATAGACGGATGTCCGCTGATGCTTTCACACTTCCAGTCTTGTCGTGCAAGTCTGTACAAGATAGCGTGTTTCACTGTTTGCCTTTTCCACAGTGCCAAAGACTCGCTTATCGCTTCGTTGTTTCACTCTAGAAATTGAAAAATCGCGCAAAAATCTGTGTAAAATGTTTGTGAAGTAGAAAAAAATTGGCCAACATTTGAGAAATTTTGACAAATTTTTCGGTAAAATCAGAAAGACCCATGAGTGAAGCAGGGTGGTAACAAAAATACATAAACATCTGTACATGGGCCAGTGCATGTTAGGTGCAGAAATACCTGTACAGATCCAATTTTACCTGCACTAACCTGCATATACCCAGTACATGGACCAGTGCAGGTTAGGTGTAGGTGGACATCAGAAATACCTGCACAGCTCCAATTTTACCTGTGCTAGCCTGCATATACCCAGTACATGGACCAGTGCAGGTAGGCATCAGAAATACCTGCACAGGTCCCAATTTTACCTGTGCTAGCCTGCATGTATTTCAGCCAGAAGGTACATGCACTGCAACCCTCTTCGTTCTTACACGCTGATATAGAGGTGAAAAGTTTCCAGGTTATTTTTGTCACAAGTTTGTTCTGAGATGTGGACGTGACTAGAAGCATGTAACTCTCAGACTGTTTCCTGCCTGCCAATGGGACCAGCAGGATCAACTGGCCAACTGTTAGAGGAATGATTTTAATTTTTTAGCAACTTAGCTTTGATTCTACAACAGAAATCTACATAAGCCTTACGTGTGATGTACCCAGTACCTGGTCTGGTAAAGATAGACATCAGAAATACCTGTACAGCTCATCTTACCTATGTTGTACCAGTGTTGTACTGTTGTTGTACAGCCCCAGTACAGAAGGGTTAACATTCCTGTGCTGTTGTACAGATGTTGTACAGATGTTGTACTTATGTTGTACAGATGTTGTACTGGTGTTGTACAGATGTTGTAGTGATGTTGTACCCGATGTTGTACTGTTGTACTGGTGTTGTACTAATGTTGTAGTGATGTTGTACTGTTGTTGTACAGATGACAGATCATGTTGCACTGTTGTAGTGATGTTGTATTGTTGTACCATTACAGAGGTGTCCGCCATGGCTGCCAACAGTAGCAGCCCGGTTACAGAAGGGTTCCTGTGTGAATGTGACAGAGACTCCTGTCAGGGAGAAACAATCTGCCGAGCTCAGCAGAAATGTTACTCCGCGATCGTAAATGGTGACCTGAAAAAGGTGAGTCTAACTTCTAACGCTTCTTTATCAGACTGAACTAATGTTGTTTTACCCGACCCTTAGCTTGTCTTACCTGAGGATAACCGTGTTATTCTGTTGCAGGGCTGTTTTGGGCAGGAGGAGCAGTCCCGCATGTCCTGCAACACCCCCAACCAGAGAACTGTCAACGTCATCTGCTGCGACTTCGAAATGTGCAACAGGAACATCACCCCAACTGTACCTACAGGTAAATAACAAACAAACAAACAAACATCACACCAACTGTACCTACAGGTAAATAACAAACAAACAAACAAACATCACACCAACTGTACCCACAGGTAAATGAATAAATAACAAACAAACAAACAATCATTACCCCAACTGTACCCACAGGTAAATGAATAAAAAACAAACAAACAAACAAACATCACCCCAACTGTACCCGCAGGTAAAAACAATCTAACAAACAAACATCACCCCAACTGTTCCCACAGGTAAATAACAAACAAACAAACAAACAAACAAACATCACCCCAACCATACCCACAGGTAAATAACAAACAAACAAACAAACATCACACCAACTGTACCTACAGGTAAATAACAAACAAACAAACAATCATTACCCCAACTGTACCCACAGGTAAATGAATAAATAACAAACAAACAAACAAACATCACCCCAACTGTACCCACAGGAAAAACAATCTAACAAACAAACATCACCCCAACTGTTCCCACAGGTAAATAACAAACAAACAAACAAACAAACATCACCCCAACCATACCCACAGGTAAATAACAAACAAACAAACAAACAAACATCACCCGACCGTACCCACAGGTAAATATAACAAACAAACAAACATCACCCCAACTGTCCCCACAGGTAAATAACAAACAAACAAACATCACCCCAACTGTTCCCACAGGTAAATAACAAACAAACAAACATCACCCCAACTGTATCCACAGGTAAAAAACAAACAAACAAACAAACATTAGCATTACGTTATGATGTATCATATTACAGTATAAGGTGTCACATTACAATGTTGATATCATATTACAGTGTCCGACCCGACGTTTGCGGTTGATAATGAGTTGACCCAGCTGGTGATCTACGCGGTGAGTCCGATCGGCGCCCTGATCATCCTGGCAGCCGCCGCCATCCTCATCGCACGGTTAGTTTGTTTCTTTATTTTATTAAAGGCATCTGTGTGGTGTAGTGGATAGAGCGTCAGACTGTCAAGCAAGAAGACCCAGGTTCAATCCCCAGGGTTGGACCCAGACATGTCCGGACATGCACCCAGACGTTGTGCCCTTGGGAAAGGCACTTGACACGTACTTTCCCCCCTCTAGTTTAGAGGGATCCTGGGCCCTACTAGGGTTGGGTTGG